TCTCGTACTCCCCTTTATGTACAAGTGTTGTGCAGACCCTCCCTTAATATAGTCTGTCTCATTTTGTCCTGAGATGTTTTGATGCATAGTGATTATGACGCTCATCATTCGCTCCCTTGTCACTGGACAGTTCTGTCCGTTTGGTTTTAGCGAATTCAAATAAAGAAAACAACAACAACAACCAGACTGCCCCTTGCACAGATATCCAGACGAGCCTCCGGACGCCGGTTAGTCGTGGCACCAGGGAGCGCTTTACGCTCGAGTGGGAGCAGCGGAGGCTCAATCCGCACATCGGGGATGGCTGCATCCATGGCCTCGGCAATCAGGTCACGCAGAGCATTGTGCCGTAGAGTGGGGTACCCCCCAGTAGGGCACGTTGCCGCATGATCGACGCTGAAGTCCGCACCACACACGCACGAGCTTGGAATGTCCCGCAAGGGCCAGCCATATCGTAATGACAACGCGTCAACAAACTCCACCTTGTTATTTAGGAGGCTCCGAACAGTTGCGCAGCGCAGTGTAAAAAGGGCACCTCCGAAATCTGTTTTTTTGCCGCGAGATTCGAAAAATGTTGTGTTCCATGCGGAAACAAGCTGTTATTCAGAAAGAAGTTTTTTGATTTCTCCGTGCTCGCAGTTGTTCGAGGATGTACATGTAGTTCTACTCGTTGCAGTGTTTCTGTAGCCGTGGCTGTTTCTACGCTGGAAAGAATCACTGGCCATGGCTAATGCAAAACAAAGGCAGTTCCTACGCTGCTTGATTTTTTTGTGAAAACTTTGTTGAAGCGGTACGATGTGGCCACGAAGAACAAATAATTATATTACTGACGAAGAAGGGTGAGAAAAGCAGGCTGAAGTCAATGAAGACATCGATGTCGAACGTAGTGATACTACTAGTACTGGTCCTGGAATTTAGCATGGACTACCTGTGGAGCTTGAAGTGGCTGCCTACTCGCTAGTAAGTGGACCCACTTGCAGCTCCAGTCGCACGGTACTTTCTGTGGATCCTAGAGTATCCTGAGCTCAGTGGACGACGCATCTCAGAGCTGCTGAACTTGGGCTACTGTCCCTGTAGGAATGATGTTCGTGTCAACCACTGTACTGCACTGATGGTGTAAGGAAAACGCTGGCCAGAAGCTTGTGTTCTGAACCAGGGACGAACTTCTAAATCCTGCTTTTGTAAAAATAGGGATGCCACAACTAAGATGTGCACACTCAGGTGTGTATTGGGTAAATGCCTGTGGTTGATTATTTTGAATCCTTTCCTATGCGCAAGTACATGCGTTTGTGTGTGTGTGTGTGTACGCGCGCGCGCGCGTGTGTGTGTACGCGCGCGCGCGCGTGTGTGTGTGTACGTGCACGCGCGAGTGTGTGTGTGTGTACGCGCGCGCATGTGCGCGCGCGCGTGTGTGTGTGTGCAAGCTGTTGAAAGGTGTACTAGTAATCCGAGCACAAGTTGCTATGTGTAACGTAGTTTGTTCGCTATCCTCGCTTCAGCGTTGGGCAGGTGTATGAGTGTGTGTGTACGCACGTGTGTGTCTGTACGCACGTGTGTGTGTGGGCGCGTGCTCGTGCCCGCATGTGTGGGTTCGCACGCAATGTTGATCTGGGTTATGCACATGTCCCCACGAGTGCACTGTGTGCATGTGCATGCAAATGTCTGTGTACATGTACATGTATGTGTGCATGCACGTGCATGTGTGCGCGCGTGTGCAAAGCTAGGTGTGGAAGGGGGGGGGGGGGGGGGGAGGGGCTCACGGTGCTGGTTCTGTATGCCTCTCCTCTCTGGTGTCCGCAAGGACAGTGTGGTAATGGCTTTACAGTACAGGAGTTGCATGTGAATGCGCATTTGTGAACCGTATTTGAGACACAAAAAGAATTGCCGAGAGAGCATGACAGTACACTACAGTACATGTATATCGTATGTGTGCACGCCAGCGTGTGTAGATGCATAATATTGCCCTTCATGCGATGTTTTTCTGGAGTCTGCTGCTATCAACGCAAGTGACAACCAGCAAATGCATGCCCAGTGCAGTGGCTGGTTTTCATGCTTTTATTTACACTAAGTCCTACTATGGACTAGTACTAGTACTGTAGTAGTGTTGGCACGCTAGTAACTCACACAGCTGCAGCGTGAATCACTTTCAATTTTATTGGTCACGCGTGTTACACCGCACCCGTACCCCGCACTTGCAACTCTGTACCGTGCTTGCAGATCCATGACACGGATAGCAATTAGTCTCACTGCGTTCAATGTACATGTAACTATTGACCTTAGAAATACTGCTGCACTTTCAACCGCCTCTTTTACGCCCATTGCCCACACTGCTATTCAGCTCCTTCTTCTGCATAGAATCAAATGGCATTCCTTGTGCAATGACTGTGGCCCACACATCTTACTTTGACCTTTCTGTTTCTGCTCTACGTATCCCCTGGTCATAGCTTGGCTTGGCTTACTTACACTAACAGTTCTTCACCCTATAAAAGCTGCTGTTCACAATTCTCTTCATGTCAGTTTGGAGTTAGAGTCAGAGTTAATGTTTACAATGTAGTCTTCCGTTTAGTTCAGTAATAAGTTTAAAGCAGTGTGTTCACTGAGACCCGTCTGCATTTGCCTCAGAAAGAAAGACTGCGGCCCGCTACACAATGATACGTGCACGAGAGTGCGTGCGTGTGGGTGGGTGTTTATGTGCGTGTGCACGCACGCGTGTGAGTGTTTAGTGTGCCTTATTTTGAATGCCTGCTTTCACATTATTCATGTGCCAGTTTCATGGTCGAGGTTGTTATGAAACCTCGCTGCCCTACATGTACATGACTGATGATTGTACATGTACACTACTCGTATATCAATGTGCTAGGACTGAAGGCTGCATGACATACATGTAATGATACATGTACCTTTCCAAGCACAGACTGTCTGGTATGTCCAAAGGAGGTTGCAGCATGAAAATAACTTCTTCTAAAATAATATAACCATGCTACCATGTCATTGGTAGTGATATTTAGTCAAGAAGTCAAGAATGGTCAGATTTTCTAAAAATGCTATTTTCAGAATTGGCCTAAAAATACATATTTTGATACCTATATTGTTTGATAGGGGCCTAAAGTGCCTGGTGACACCATCAAAACTGTCCATTATCGGTTTCCTTGGGGCTCAAGGATCACAGAAAGCCATAAAAATCAATATGTCCATGGACAAAATGTTGCAGGCTGAACCATTTCACAATTCAGCACCCGATGGAAATTTCGGTACCCGTAATTTCGAAAAAGTGGCTCGCCAAGGGCAAAACCACGACAGTCTATTTTGTGTAGCCAAGATACCTCCAAATGTGGTTCTTAAACATAATAATTATTATGATGAAGAAAATGCTTAGTATCCTCCCTCCAGGAGGCTTCTTTGGGTCAAAAACCAAAAGAATTACCATTTTTTTGCCGAAAATCAAGAAATTGTACACTCACTAAATACACCAGAATACCTCTTATATGCCTGGTGACCCTACCTAAAAACTATACCAAATTGAAGAAGAGAAATCACTCCACCATTCTATGCATAAAAAACAGGGTGTCCATGGACCTTTTATTTTTACTTCTTTAGGTGGGAGCCTCCTTAAGAATGAAGCCACTCTCTGCCAGGGGCTCAGCAGTCAGCCAGCTTGAAACCCCAGGGTCAGCAGCACATTCCATCAGCAACCTCTGCTGATTGCACAGCCCCAGGGACATGTCCGCCTGCAACTGACGATAATTATGCCGACGCACGCAACTTCTGCTCACCCCTGCGGAGAGCCCCTGCCTGAGCAATAACGACGGCCGGTGGAGCAGCATCAGATTTGCACTCTATCATGTCCACAATGGGCCGCGTCACCCTCAGACTCACTCTTCGCTGTTCACTGGCGTCCTGGGCAATACTCGGGAGGGCGAGGCCAGCGAACCTGACAGGCAGTGCCAACAGTTTGCGTTCAGTATCCGACAGGCTGGGACGACCAGTGAGGGCCGGAATCAGGTCTCTTCCAATGACCAGATGACACTATCCAGTTCATCGAAACACGCAGATTCTGGGTCTTTGTGAGATCGCAGATGATAGTGCCAGTGATGTGCCAGCTAGCTGCATGCAGTCTGATATTACCGGTACTTGAAGTGCTTGCTGCACGTGCCTGGAACGGTGTGCGAGGGGAATCCCGCACCAGGTGCTTCCCCGGACACAACTGCTAAACGAGGGGAAATCCCTCTTCCCGTATGTCACATGACTGTCGCCTTGGAGTCGACCAATGACAGATCAAATTACGCGGGCTGGAAAGCGCGATCCTGCCTGATGAACGGTGATGGAACTAGTTCCACTGCCCGTCGTCACTTGACGACGGAATCCACTCATGAGTCTACCATTTCAATGACAAGCTTCTGTGGTCTGAAAGTACATGCAAAAAGTCATGTACTGTAGTCCGTGTACGGTACGGTTGTCGAAGTCACTCTCACTCAGCTCACACAGAGTCACAGCTAGTACAGCCTCATTCAGGACTCGAGTCGAGTCACAGAATGGTTCATGTATGTAATAAGTTCAAACGTCAAAGATTGTGAGTGATCTCCTTGGCTTGGGTGCATACCGGAAACACGTTCCAGTCACTCATAGTCATACTCGGTCAGTAGAATCTACCGCTGCTCATCCAGCCCTTGCCGCTATCGCGGCGCGGGCTGGATTCCGCGGTACTGCCCTCATACTCGTGCAGGAACCTGTACATCCGACATCGGGACATCGCATCTCGGCGGCTAGCCGCCGTAGTACCCAGCTGGTCCGCGAGCTAGCCGTACTGTGACCTTGGCGACTGTACTGCACTTCTGCAGGGCGTTATCTACGGTGTCGAAGCGTGCACCACGCAATCATCTGATCATGTGCATGGCATTAGTGGCCTTCCTGTAAGTAACCTGGCTGCTATGCATGCGTGCTCTGTGTCAATATAACACCTCGCACATGCTTGCAGCGTCGGTTTCTACCCGATCAGACCTTGTGAACGGATGAAGATCGTGTGCTAGTATCGGCAGCGCTTGCTGGGCATTGCCAAAAACCTAGATTCTGATTTCGTGCAGAAGCCTCTGATTCGTAGTGTGGTAGATCGACCACTACCACTGAGTCTGTGCCAGCTGCAAAGTAACCGTTGCTTACCTGCTCAAGACGCAGCGGTAGAGTGCAGGTGAGGTATTCTAGCCATGCATGTATCATTGTACTTGATGCAGTAATACTAATGTGAATTCAGAAAGACACTCTCCGACGCCGAACTAATACTTCCCCCTCTTACAATGATGTGCTACAGACAGTACAGACTCCTACAGTAACATGCCAGGACGATTCGATGATTTTTAGTATTTTTTACTGTCTCTTTTTGTCTTCCAGCTTGCTCTCGAGTCTCATGCTCATATATCATAGCTCACTCAGTCCAGGTCTTTCACTTTCAGCGCTATCGTAGATCGCGGAGCGTCACACTCTGGTGGTGTTTGCGACGGACTCGTGCTGCTGCATACTGTGGCCAGCGTAACCAGTGTAGGCTGTAGTACATAGTGCCGTGATCGTGAGCTCATAATCAGCCGCTTCGTTCCTCCCTGAGACTTGTCAAGGTTTTCATCGATCGAAGCAGGGCGCACGTCGGCAGATACCCGCTCGGCGCTGGTCTGACCTACCCGCACCGGTCGCTTTGTCGTGCCACGAGCACAACGGAGCAGCGAAGAGAATGGCGGGGCGGCCATTCCTCGACCCGCGCCCACCCGAGAGGGGCACAAATTCTGTAAGTACTGAGATCTGGATAATAAATTATTATTAATTTAAAAATAATTTTATATTCATACAGAGGTAGTTCTAGGTGGGAACTGAAATCCGATTACTAGTAACGTGTTCGAGTGCAGTACCGATGCAACATCCAGCTGGGGTCAGACTACCCCATGCTGCAGCCAGTGCAGGATAGCGGGGTGCTTGGCTGTGCTACAGGGAACCCAAAGTCCATGCAGACGTTCTCACTGCTGCAAGGTTGGCCGGCCACGAGTTGTCAGGTAACTCCAGCCGAGTCTCGCACAAACCGTGATTTTTTTAAAGGTGACCAGACGCTTGGCTGTGCTTCATGAAGCCCAGGGTCCATGCAGGGACTCTCACTGCTGCGAGGGTGACAGGGCGATTGGCTCTGCTTCATGAAGACCAGAGTCAATGCAGGGGCTTTAACGGCTGCGAGGGAGACAGGGTGCTTGGCTGTGCTTCATGAAGCCCATAGTCCATGCAGGGGTTTTCACGGCTGCGAGCTCAGCAACCGGTGTACTGTAGATCTACTATGTACACTGCTAATCCACACGTGCCAGCAGACTTGTAGCCCGCTTGACATTCAAGACGGACGGCTGGAAACGTCTGTGCATACGTAGAGTACCGGCCGGTGTAGATTTCCATCGCTCCAACCGTAGAGTATAGAATGTGCACCTGCTGCATATTGCCATTTGAACACTCGATTGTACTGTTGTTTCTCCAGATAATAAGCCGCACTGGAGTATAAGCCACAACCGGGATTTTTTGGCACGAAATACAGACATTTACTCCATTTATCACTGTTAATTTTACCATCATAGTTTAATGGTGGTGTTTAAACTAGGGCTGAGTCGGGTAGCATTTTCTTCGGGTATCGGGTTCAGGTCGGTTTCCACGGGCAGCACGGGTACCCGATAGGGTAATGTTGCCATGGTAACACCTCAGTGCACCTCTTTCCTTACACACTTGGTAGACATGCGGAGTGTTACATGAATTTGTACACATGCACTCACAGTACATGATGTCATCTGCGACTTCGGGTTTTCTGGTACTATTCTGTACCCGTCTACCCTAGGTCCTCACGGATAGCACGGGATACCCGACTATCCGTGCACACCGCTAGTTTAAAGTGCTTTTTATACTCCGGATAATACGTAGACAATCATAGAGTTCTGGCAGGACTTTATGGCTGAATCAAGGCCGAGTGCATACGGCCAAGGGCGCAGGCCAAGGCGCGTAGCGCCGAGGCCTGCGCCCGCGGCCGTGCGCACGAGGCCTTGATGAAGGCGGAAAGTCCTGCCAGAACTCTATGATCGTGTTTCAGGTTTCCACTTACATCCTTTGAGCCGCGTAGACTAGTATAAGCGCGATACCACATGGCCGGGTGGAGGTTGGGGACGTGGTGGCTAGACCTGTTGCCTTTTTTCTTTGCTCAATGCTCAAGAACAAGTAGGTTGGTCGGGGACGTGGTGGCTACACTATCACTCCTTTGCTGACACGCGATGATCTTATCAATTTTCGCTTACATCAGTATATGAAGGCCTCGTGCGTAGATCTACTGTGCTACGCGCCTTGGCCAGCGCCCGGGCCTTGGGCCTGCCTGGCCGTAGATCTACGCTCATCGGAGTCATGGTCATGTTTTCACTGGCATTCTTTGAAACTGTATATAAGCGCGATACCACCTAGGGGTGGAGGTCGGGGACGTGGTGGCTGGATCTATCGCTTTTTAGAAGAAGTAGTTGCAGAATTGCCAAAGCTCATGCGTACGGCCGCGGGCGCAGGCCTCGGCGCTACGCGCCTTGGCCTGCGCCCTTAGCCTTGATTCATGGTCAGGTTTCACTTGCGAACTGTATATAAGCGCGACACCACCTAGGGGTGGAGGTCGGGGACGTGGTGGACGGATCTCTTGCCATTTTTACAATTATTTACTCCTCAGGTTAAGTCGTCCTTTGATGCTCGTACTCGTAGACTGTATATAAGCGCGATACCACCCAGGGGTGGAGGTCGGGGACGTGGTGGACAGAACTCTTGCCATTTTTCCCTTGGCCTTGAAGAAGAAGAATGTTTTGAATTGTTTTCAGGTTGTAGCTGTTTAGTTTTGTCACTCCTTTACTGACACGCGTACAAACCTGTTGTCAACATCGCTCAACATCGCCATTAGCTTGTAGAATACTGGATTGCTTACTACATGTAGCCACCTTTGCTACCTTACATCATAGTACTTGTATGTTTATTACATCAATGAACAGAACTGAGCATGAGGTCATGTCTACAGGCATGCCCAATCTACATGATTGTAGACCTGGTTTCAACCATGTACTTACTCTACTCTCCTCCAAAGCCAAGGACGGCAAGGTCCTGAGATGAACTGAGATGGCAACGGAAAACTGACGCAGACCCCTGCACTGTATAGCTAGGCTGACAGCGTGCGGGCCTTTATCGGCTCATCAAGGCCACCGCGGGAACGTCGCTCATTGGCTACAACCATGGAAACGGCGCTGTAAAAACCTGAAGGTACTATAAAACATTTAATTTAAGGTGCATTAAAAATTCGGTGCCAGGGACCTGCCAGGTTTCAGGTGTAATTTAGAATTAGGTGACCAGCGTTCCCTTCACATGCAGTGCATACTCTAGTGCCTTTTAGGTGTAATTTAAATTTATGTGCCTGGTGTCTCCACTGAAATCACCGAAATTACGGAGGATTAGCAAGACGAAATTCGCGTTCGCAAACATTTTTCAGTTCGCGAACTGGATTGCGAACTTTCGCATTTTTCGTTTGGAAAAGTAGTCGGAACACGAATCGCGGATTCGTGTCAGGACAGTCATAAATTTACCACGCTGTACTGTCTGTACACAATGTACGTCGTGTCAACGACATGATGCATGTGCGAATTCTAGGCTATACCAGTACTGTCAGTCTATAGTGGTGTGCACACTGCAGTCTGTTGTCTGTAGTGTAGGATAGTCTATAGTGGTGTGCACACTGCAGTCTGTTGTCTGTAGTGTAGGATCAGACTACATACTACAAGTAGTAAGTTTTCATCGGTGACCTGTGCAGTGCAGGCTACTGACTCTCTATCACTATCCTGGACCATGTGTGTGTAGTAACCAGAGCGTCTAGATTCTTGAGCCTGCCTCGTAATTATAGAAGCCTGGTTTGAATACAAGCCTGATTTTCAAGATACACTGTCGGCACATAAGCCTGGTTTTAGCGCTGACACCGTGACATAGAAATACCTGGTTTGAATAGAAGCCCCATGTGAATATAAGCCTAGCCATGACATCAGCTTCTACAGGATCGAATAAGCCCAGTTTAACTTTTAGTGCGCCACATCACCTGTTGTCCAACATTACGGTCTGCCTGGATATTGTGAACACACCATCACCTGTCAGCTCAGCTCAGGTGCATCATGACGTGCACGGTCATTGTCTTCACAATCTTTGGCCACTGCATGTGCATGCCTGATCTTTTGGTGTGTGTGTGTGTGTACATGGTGTGTGTGTGTGTGTGTGTGTGTGTATGTGTGTGTGTGTGTGTGTGTGTGTGTGTGTGTGTGTGTGTGTACATGGTGTGTGTGTGTGTACATGGTGTGCGTGTGTGTGTGTACATGATGTGTGTGTGTGTACAGTGTGTGTATGTGTGTGTACATGGTGTGTGTTTCTGTGTGTTTGTGTGTGCACATGGTGTATGCTTGAGAGTAGCTATAGCACTCCAGCCACTGACTCTTGAGCTGAGCTCTGAGCCCGTTCTTTTCTACTCACTTTGAAGTTCATTAGAGGTGACAGCTGGTCATCATCATACCGCCCCAGGGCACACTGTTTGGCTAGCCTTCAACAGTTGTCCTTGACAGTATGCTCAGAAAACTTCAGCTGGCGCCTCTCCTGCTGGGGCACCCTGGCCGAAAATAAGAACTCATGCAACCTCCACTGAGCCCCCTCACTGTGACCACACGCTGTTGAAAGAGAATTGCACTCAAAGGGACATCCCCCAGCGCACGATTGCTGGGGACTGTCCCTTCGGCCTTCACCAAGCTACATGTGGATAATCATTGAACTAGTCACTGAACTAGTAATACCCACTTAGTTATAGTACATGTACATGTACAATCAGTCATGTATTATAAACTGAACGTAGTAAGACTTAGTAACACTTGAAGTAACGTGTTGAACATTGCCATTGGGAGAAATCTCTGTACCTGAGGCTGACTTTGATCACTTACTAACGCTGCCTTCATAATACCCCCGTGCCACCAGCATAGTACTATGTTGATCACTTACACTGCCCTAGCGCTGAAACACTAGCATTGCGTACCTGCCATGGGATAACACCTATAGTGAATAAGACCACACAACCCGGAGTATCCCCAGTCTCCTCCTGATGATTACGTTTCAGCATGAAACTCGTGAGTAGAGACATTTACCAGTAAATCACTTTTTGTTCCACCGGATTTTCGTTTGTACTGATTTTGTGTAGTCATTCCCCTGTGCACTGACCGTGCATGCTGTAGCTAGGCATAATCATAATCGCCATAGGCCTGATCTACATCACATGTGCGACTTTAAATTTTTAATTCAACGACAACTACTAATACACTCATTGCCGAAGTTGTGTTGCCATGGTGCAAAAATGGCGTTGGATGGCTACGCCTGAGCGCTCGCGCTGTCATCGCAGCCCACGACACGTCTTCCTGCTGTGCTTTCTTGACAAATTATTTTGTTTCGTTTTGTCCTTGTTGCTGGAGGGGTTGATTCTTTGAAATACTTTAGAGCGATTTGGAGTTGGTCAGCCGAGAGTAGTCGTGAGAAATGGAGAAAGAATGTGAGAGAACCTGGACTGCGGATCAAGTCGCTCTGTTCCAGCGGAGGCGAGCAGGGGGTTACGATCTCAGTGCCCAGGCACGTCGCTCCTGATTATTTCAAGGGGCTCGATGTGCAAGTGGCACTCGAAACCAGCGCTGCGCAGAGTGCCCATGTTCCTGCCAGTGTCGCTGCTTCAGC